AAGGGAGAACGAGACGGATCCAACTCAAACGATACGAGAGTGGGTTAGGATGTTTAATTGTACACAGGAGTACCGGGTACCGCACAAACCGAAATTATTTTTCGCCAAGCTATTATAGTTTGCATATCATGCCGATGAAATTTTCAATGTTGAAAACCGTCAACAACAACAACATGTCAACACATCCAGCCATCCTTCAAATTTAGATCAACAAACAAGAAGCTATAGCAACTCTTATCTTATCAGTTAAAAGAAAAACCAAATTATGCCTTTGTCCTTTTTTACTTCATTTATGCAGCTGTAATACTTCGGGGGAGAAGGAAGTAATAACTGAGCTTCAGTTTGGCTAGACTGCTGCTCCATCCCCCGCATCATGACTGACGTCCTAAAAAGGTCAACAATTTAGAAGTAATAATTGTATAAAAGGCTTTGTCGAAAATGTCAAGCATCGATATCAACTGTTCATCATTAATTTTCGCAATTTCTATAATGCTGTCTTAAAAAAACTTTTCTTATGTCCTTCTCCTTATTGCTGCATCAAGGCAGATCTGAACAACTTTATGTCAGATAGTCTCTGCGAAACAGTCGAAAATGCACTGGGCGAAATTGAGACGGTGATACTTTAAGTGTTGAGTAGTTTTTCAAAGAATGAGATATGGAGAGATATAGGTTAAAAAAAGCTGGATGTTTTAGCAAAGCTTATTCTCGAAATGTAGAACTACGTTACAAAAGTAGTGCATCTTCTAATCCAACAAACACCTTTTAAAAAACGCAACTAACTGGAAACTAATTTGCCTTTATCCAGTCAGGGATGCTTTCCCTATCCTTGAAAAGTTTGGTGCCCGAAACTAATATGAGAAAGCATAGTTGTCACAGATGTCGATTGTGAATGTTATGTTGTGTCAAGCCGCACCCAGAACATGAATAAGGAGGTGACCAAAAACATGACTCAGGAAAATTGCGGGAGAGCGCGCCAGATTACGGTAGACTTAGCCATGCACGACGATCAGCACGATTGCACGACTTAACTTGCTCGCTATTCAAGTTTGCGATAATCAAATCACGCAGTCCTTCATCATGAATACTGCGGCGAGATAGTAGGCCATCAGCTGTTCTCAGGCCTCGCCTAGGAAATGACATTTGCTTCTACGACTACGGTGCATACGGAAGGGTGCATATGCTGCAATTTTCTCCGACGTCTGATTGTTTACATCAGCTATAATTAGCAAACTCAGCGTCGAGCGGCGCATGATGGCTTGCCTATTCTTAAATACCTTCAACGAAAATGATGTCTCTTGTGCTAGGTTGAGCTGCCCGCGAAGCTATGCATCTCGCTCTTAGAAAAAGTCAGAGTGGATTAGAGTGGAATAAGCAATATTGATCACTCATACTTTTGCCTATAGTGCCCGTCAAGTTACTCTCCTTTTAATTTTTTGAGAATTTCACACAGAATTTATTAGAAAACTATGCTTTAAAAAAGACGACCACCACAGCTTTTTTTGACCATCACGGGAGAGTTCTTTC